GTTTATGTTAAACACACAAAGAACCTTCTCTATGTACACAACCCACTAGTCCCTCATGAAGTAACACTTACTTCTCTCACACAGCATGCCAAAAAACAGAAGACAGTTTGAGAGTTTACAGCAAGGTAACTTAGAGAAATAATCTGAGTGTATTCTCCCTTTCGTTTCAGACCAGAACCATGACTGTTAACGTTTCCTTTCCTCAGCGATTTTTAAAGGCGGAAAACAGAAGTCATTTTGAATCAAAAGCTCTTCTGTCTTTTGCAAACATCTATGTTTCCCACAGAGAGGGTGTCAAGGGCCCAAAAGGAGGAGGAGAGGAGAACCTTTAGAATTAGATAGAAACAAGGACTGAGCTCAAAGGCTAAGAAGGAAGCAAAGATGAAGGGTTCAAGAGATTCACCTTTCATACCTTGGCAGCACCCCTTAAGAGTGGAGAGGCCAGACCCTAGAAATGGATGTTCTGTGGCATCTACCCATTCCATCGACCCACATGCTTAAACATAGCACAGCTGCTAAAAACAAGGGGTCAAGCAGGCTGGAAAAAGGGCCCCTTAGCAGTAACTGGTGGACTTTGACCACTGGCCAAAGGAGCACAGACCACTATACTGAGTGGCATTAGAGCTTCCAGCTGGATTTAAGTTGCATCCCAGTTGGTACACTAAGATTCATGTGGGAATCTGCAAGAGGTGCTGGCAAAGACTGGCAGAGAGATACATTATCAGCAGAGGCCACTGACAAGTGTGGGAATTTAGGCTGATTCACCCAGGCCCATGCCATGACTCTGTTGAAGACTGTTGGTTATAAATAAAGAGACAAGTGGAAACCCTCAGGGAAGCACGTGTCATGAATTAAATTGTGCCCTCCCCACAAGATATGTGTTGGAATCCTAAACCCTGTGGATGTGATCTTATTTGGAGATAGGTGTTTTTTTCCTAGTATGTTAATTTGATCATACCTGAATAGTGTGGGTTCTGTATCTTCTTGTTGTTGTCGTTATGTGCCGTCGAGTCGGTTCTGACTCACATCAACCCTATGCATGACAGAACAAAACACTGCCTGGCCCGCTCCTGCACCATCTCCACAATTAAAGCTTTAAAATTGAAGCTCTCATATTCTGGGCAAACATAGGGCAATCAGAGAAGAAAACAAGAACAAACACAGCCTGCTTAGTTTACTGAGATTAAATTTCTCTGTAATTCTTAGGAAACTACCTAGAAAGCGAGAGGAATGAGTGACTTTTAAGGACTCTAGAGTCTATTTTTAAAACACCTTTTATTGTGTAGAACAGTTTTAGATTTACAGAAAAACTGCACAGCATCTTTTTTAAAGATAAAAAGTCTTCCTGCAGAAGGTGAGCTAGCTGTAGAGTGGCCAATAAGCCCTGTTACTGGGGAATGGGTCAACAGATGGCACGGACAGCCAGGAGGAAAATGAGTCCACCTATGGATGACATGAGGGCCACCAGATACTGTGAGTGTTTTCAATGACATTGTCAAACATGAGACTACCACCTGCAGAGAAGAGACATTTGGATCTTGTTTAGGGGGCATCACCAAGATGTTTCTGCTATTACAGACTCAGAGACAGAGAGATGCATGGCTGACGTGCCTGGCCCCTCTCCCAAATGTCCTACCTCCATAGCTTACTGTCCTCCTGTTGCTCCCTCCACCTGTGGCCTTTGCACCTGTATTCCCTCTGCCCGGAAGATTCTCCTCTAGAGCTCGTAGAGCTGATTCCTTCACCTTCTCTAGGTCTTCACACGAGCATCATGTTTCCAGCAAGGCTTGCTCTGACTATTCCATCCCATCTCAGCACTTCGTCACTTAGCAGCATCTGACATCTTGCACACTCTACTTAGTTCATTTCTAATTATTCCACTAGATCATCCTCATGAAGAAAGGTACTGAAACTTTTATTTGGTGCTGCGGTATCAGCCTCTAAAAGTGCCTGGCATGCGATTGGTACTTACCGCTCACTGAAAGAACTAATGAGTCAGTCAGTGATGATGGAATGAAAGCTAAATGGTCTGGTCTTGAATGCATTTTAACAAAGCTATAGTGACTGTGGCTAAGTAGTTGAGCACAAAACCAAAAGGTCCACTGTCAACAAGTCAATTCCAACTCATAGAAACTCTATAGAACAGAGTAGAACTGCTCTTTAGGGTTTCTGAGACTGTAAATCTTTATGGGTGACTTTGAGCCGCTGACCTTGTGGTTAGCAGCCCAATGCTTAAGGTAAGTACAAAGCCCAAGAATATGCATATCTGATAAACTTGAAAATCCAAGAATATGCATATCTGATTAACTTCCTAAATACCCACAGAGGCTATGAACAGGTATCTTCATGTACACCAGGTTCATTGAGAAGTAGCAAGGTCTCAGCACAGCTCCAGTGGAAGAGGGCAGGACAATGCGGCAGGTGTGCTCCCCAAGACCAGCCTGAGTTCACTCCCCTGAGTCCACACTTCTCCCAGTGAGAGAAGACGGCAGACAGGAGAGAGGAGTGGTGGCTTGTAGTTCCCCTTCACCTATATCATTAATCCTTAGGCACCCCTCCCAGATTCCATAGTCCATGAGAAACAAAACAAAATATATCCTAGCCATTGAGATGATTTCAGTTCATGACAACCTCATGTGCTCAAGAACAGAAATGGGCTTCAGAGGGTCTTCTTGGTTGTAATCTTTATGGAAGCAGATCGCCACGTCTTTCTTCTGGGGATCCTCTGGGAGGGTTCCACAGTCCACCTTTCGGTTAGAAGATGAGCACAAACCACTTGCACCTCCCAGGGACCTCTGAGAACAAAAGAGCTGTCACGATCCCTGTTCTAATGAGGACACCATGCTGCACTTTCACACAAGGTATGCTACTTAAAGGACAAAATTGGGTAAAAGACTCATTGAGCTCATAAATTTGCTGGGGAGACAAGAGTAGCAAGCAAGAAATAAAACTGGCAACTTTATTCTAACAGAGGGCCCCTGAGAGAAGAGGAGGCTGATGTGTTATTACTGGAATCTGGATGATATTCCTGTTGGGATAGAGAATTTCTTACATTTTATTTTCTTTAAATGAAATCAAATTTTGTACCTACTCTGTAATGTGCATTTATTACAATTTTTTAAATTACTTCTAAGAGAACTTACTTAACTTTTGCTTCCTATATCTTCAGGATAAACTGAATCTCCACCAAGATATGCCACCTTAATTCTGTGGTTTTGCATTCTCCTTGGCACTGTACTGTGAGCCCCAGAGGTCTGACCTGGTCTAGTACATGTGAAGCTTGGATACCTGATAAATATCATTTCATGCCAAAATGTATAATACAGACCACAGAGAATATGGCTGTTTAGGAAGATACAAATTATCTGCAAAGTTTATATGGAGCCAGGTGTGAAAAGCATTATATTCAAATTGCTGCCAATGATAGAAGCTGGCAACATACATTTTTTTTTCTATATTACATTAAAAAAAATAATAAAACAAGAAACAAGTTGTTTAAAAACAATTATAATTGTTATTGCTGTTTTAATATAAATGCCAGAAAGAAACAATCTTTAACTCTGGGCTTTTTTAAAAAAAGATACAAGATCAGTTTTCCCCAAAAAATACAAGATACACAGACAAATCACATTCACACCTTACAATTTTTAAATAGCAAACAATTTAAAATTCATGATGAACAATGAATAGTTTCATATTTTTTCAGCAGCTCAAAATTTCAGAAATGCTAGCAAAATTATTCATTTCCATCATTTTTATGAGTTTAAAAAAAAAAAAGAAACAGCTAATCATATATCTTATATAGGTATATAAGTAGTACTCAAAAATACAAAGCAACTGTGAAGATAGCAGAGTCCCATGCTTGCTGTACACATTCTAAAAATAGTGAGACGTTCATCAGGAATGAAATAGATAAAAACTGTATTTCAGAATATGCTCCACAAACACGAGTCCAACTTTTCTCTTTGGTTCAGAAGGTAACAGAGGTAGGTTCAAATAAAGCAAATGCCTATTGTTTCACCAGCTGTTGGATAAAACCTTGACAGTGTGTAACAGAAATAATTAGAAACCAAACTTGTTTGAGTTTTAAAAATTAAATTAAAAAAGTGATAAAAATACCTTCAACTAATGAATATTTTTCTAAGTCCTAGTCAGATAAATTTCAGAAAAAAAATTTGTTGATGACAAAAACTGGTTTCAGAAAATAAAAATGCTATCAATATGATAAATTAAGTTTTCTAGCTCATAGTATATTCCTAAGATATTGGACGAGAGAAAATGTGAATGCATATGCCTACAAACGGCTTTTCATTTAAATCGAATATATAAGACTATCAGTGTGTCCTATCCTCTGAGGCTTATACTGCCCAAATTGACAATGGTAGGGTCAAAAAACTCCAACAAGGAGAAGAAAATAAGAATGTCACTCATCCATGATCAAACTACTTCATATAATTAAGATAGGGGGAAGTCCAGGTTGGCAAGAATGCTCTCAATAAACCTTCCTGAATAAAACAGAATCTGAGTCAAGAAGTAGAAGACAAAGGATAAAGAAAAGAGACACTCCTCAAAAGCTGAAATAAACAAAAGGGTTTTCGTTCCTACTGCTTTTCAAAGCAATCGGTGAATTAATAGAAAGTTTCAAATAAGTTGTTTTGTGATGATAATTTGATGTTAATATACTGACATTTAATCAGCGTGTAATTCCAGGCACCAAATAGTGGAGCAAGTAAAATGAAAAAGTGCCCACGGAGATCAATTTTATCTTATCACTCCTCCTTAAACAAAAATGATATGAATAGACTAGATTTTTCACATGCCTTGAAATTCTTTTATGATCATTCATATTCTGCTTAAAAAAAAAAAATAATATCTCTCTGCTGTAAAGGATGTTTTAATGCAATGATTTTCTGTTTATGGTTCTGTAAGAAAAATGTTTAAGCCTATAAAGGTATTAAAAATAGCTTTAAGTCTCAAGGTTTTCTGATCTGTTTTTAAAGAAAAAAAGACACTTAAGTATAAAAGAATTGGCATAAACTTGGACCAACCAAAACACAGATTAATGATTTATAATTCTACCAACAAACAAATTTAGTTCACACAAGTAGATTTTTCAGAATTACGATTCAGAGCAAATGTTTGCAGGAATAACTAATATAAGAGATTTAAAAAAAAAAAAATTGTGAACTGTATGAACTTATCAAAACTATGATTTTAAACAATTTTGCATATATAAAATTAAGTCAAAATATCTGAAGTGATCATTAATATGTTCCTCCCTTTTATGAAAAAAAATATAGCTTTTTTTTTTTTTGCCATGGACTTGTTGCAATTCTAGGAGAAAATAACTCCAGAAATCACATTAAAAATTTCAGTAATCACGCCAAAGCAAAACCTTCAGCATGTCATTTGTGTGCTACTCCTAAAGTTTGCTTCATATTTTCATACACCACATAGCTGATGCCAACAGCAGGAAGCACCTTCATAAAGTTTGGGGTGATGCCCCTGTAAAGTCCTCTTACTCCTTCTTTGGAAATTATTCGTCGGAAGAGGCCAACCATGTTCAGCTGCGGGGCTCCTTCGACCATAGCTAGGAAATAAAAAAGAAACCAATCTAATTTAATATCCAAGCAGGTTTAATTTTTATTATTAGTTATTATGATAAATAAGGATGCTTCAGGATGATATTCTAGAATACAATGAAAGGATAAAAATCCATTCTAATGGGCTTGACAAAGTACCCCTGTATATGAGGAGCTCTCCTTTTATAGCACCTTATAGCAAGTGCCCTGACTAGGTAGTTGTTAAGTGCCATCAAGTCAGTTCTGACCCATCAGGACCCTGTATAGGGTTTCCAAGGAACGACTGGCAAGTTTGAACCATCGACCTTGTGGTTCAATCCAACTTTGCAGTCCAGCGCAACTAATGATAGTAATAAGTTATTTCTTGAGAGCTTACTGTGTGCTAGATACAGAGATCAATATTAGCTACAGTGTTAACTACTTTACATACCAATCCTACAAGGTCAATATTATTACACTGCCATTATTAATAGTATTACAACTTCAAATGAGTTGGAGACTTAAGATGGCATAAGTTATCCTAAACCATGTAGCTAGCAAACAGTAGAGCCAAAGATTTGATGGTGTTTCTGACTCCAAACCTCACGCACCTTCTACCACATCACACTGTCACCTCCTCCTCATTAGCCAAGACCTGTAAAGAGAACAAGTAAATCATGGGGTGGGATGCTGGGAGGAAAAAGAAGATGGGAAAGACTTTGAGGAGCTTATGAAAAATATAGGGCCCTGGGCCTTAAAATTTACCTCGAGAGGCATGCGAGGTAGGAAAGAGAAAATTCATGGGGTTGGCACAGCAAAGACATGTGCTAAGGGAAACAGCTGATCAATGTGTGCGGTTATTACAGAGACAGAGAGGCTGGAGGTGGGCAACATAGAGACAGAGAAAGGGAGACAAAGTTAAAACAAAAAGTAGACCCAGTGATTAAAGCTTTGAAATTCCCACCAGGAAGTTTGGATTTTACTCTAAAGACACTGAAGAGTCATAAAGATTTGTGACTCTTTCTGAAGTCACAAACGGAAGAGAAATGGCATCACATTCATTGTCAAAAAAAGCATTTCAAGATCTTGAAGTGCAATGCTGTCTGTGGTAAGACTGTATACATATGCCTACAAGTAAGACCAGTTCATACTACTATTATTCACATTTACATACCAACCACTAAAGTCCATGATGATGAAATTGAAGAATTCTACCAACTTCTTCAATCTAAAATTGATCAAAGATGCAATCAAGATGCATTGGTAATTATTGGTAAATGGAATGTGAAAGTTGGAAACAAGGAGTAAGGATCAGTAGTTGGAAAATATGACCTTGGTGACAGAAATGATGCTGGAGATTGCATGATAAAATTTTGCAAGACCAATGACTTCTTCATTGCAAATACTTTTTTCAAAAACATAAATGGCAACTATACGCGTGTACCTCACCAAATAGAAGAGACAGGAATTAAATTGACTACATCTGTGAGCACAGACAACGGAGAAGCTCATTATCATCAGTCAAAACAAGGCCAGCAGCAGGCTATGGAACAGATCAACCATCAATTTCTCATATGCAAGTTCAGGCTGAAGCTGAAGAAAACTAGAGCAAGTCCACAAGAGCCAAATATGACCTTGAGTATAACCCATCTGAATTTAGACATCATCTCAAGAACAGATCTGATGCATTAGACACTAATAACCAAAGAACAGAGGAGTTGTGGGATGATATGGAAAAAACAAAGATCATTCAAAAGACAGGAAAGAAAGAAAAGACCAAAATGGATGTCAGAAGAGACTATGAAAATTGCTGTAGAATGTAGAGAAATTAAAGCAACTGGCAGAAATGATGAAGTACAAGAGTTTAACAGAATATTTTAAAAGGAAGCTCAAGCAGACAAAATTATTATCATTGGTTGGTTATGTGCTGTGGAGTTGGTTCTGACTCATAGTAGCCCTGCGTAGGATTTCCGAGGCTGTGAATCTTTATGGGAGCAGAAAGCCTCATCTTTCTCCCACAGAACAGAACTGCTGGTAGTTCTGAACTGCTGACCTTGAGATTAGCAGTTGGATTTGTAACCACTACACTTCTATAATGAAATGTATAACAATCTGGTGTGAGAAAACCAAAATGGAAGAATACATTCACATGTGTTTGGTATTGTAAGATGACTATGAGGGAGGTGGGCACAGTGGTGCTTTAGGATAAACACTGGACTTTAAACCACAAGGCCAGCAGTTTGAGCTCACCAGCCCTCCATGGGAAAAAGATGGGGCTTTCTGCTCTTGGACAAATGGTACTAGCAAAACTGAATATCCATTTGCAAAAGAATGAAACAAGACATCCATATCTCACACAATATGAAAAATGAACTTAGATCATTAATGAAAAAATAAGGATAGATTTGGGAGCTCTGATCCGCGGCATAAAAACACTATCAAACATAATTTAAAACACACAAACAGCAAAAGACAGATGACTGGGACCTCCTAAAATATTAGACATGTACATCAAGAGATTTCACCAAAAGAGGAAAAAGAGAATTCTCACACTGAGAAAAAAATTTTTTGCAAATGACATATTAGACGAAGGGACTTACCTCTACAATTTATAAACAAGTTCAAGAAAGTGACAAACAATCCTATTTAAAAATGGGCAGAGAACATAAACAGATACTTCACCAAAGAAGACATTCGGGCAACCAACAAACCTATGGTGAAATGCTCACAATCACTAGCCATTTATTGTTGGTGCTGCTGCTGCTAAGGGTTGTGAATTCAGTTCTGACTCACAGCAATCCTGTATAGCGTTTCACAGGCATTAAGTCTTTTCAGGAGCAGAAAGCCTTATCTTTCTCTCTCAGAGCGGCTGGTGCGCCCAACTGTCAACCTTGTGGTTCGCAGTCCAGTGAGAGATGCAAATCCAAACTTCAGTGAGATATCATCTCATCCTAGCATTCACAGAAAAAAAAAAACAACAACAACAACAACCCAGAAAACACCAAATGCTGAGGAGGGTGTGGATAGACTGGAATCCTCATACATTGGTGGTGGGATTGCATAATAGTGTAACCACTACGGAAAATGGTATGGCCCTTCCTCAAAAAAGTTGGAAACAGAAATAACCATATGACCCAGCAATCCCTCTTAATTGTTGTTAAGTGCTGTTGAGTCAGGTCCAACTTACAGCAAGCCTTGATAGAGTTTCTAGGGCGCAACTGGTGGGTTTGAAGCACTGACCAAGTGGCTAGCAGTCCAGTGCTTATCCTACAGCACCACACCAGGACTCCAGAAATCCCTCTACTTGGTATATATTCTACAGAAAACAAAAGCCATGCCATGAATACAAGTATGCACACCCATGTTCATCCCAGAACTATTCACAATTGAAAAAGACACAGACAACTAAATGCCCATCAGTGGATGACTGGATAGACAACCTTTGGTGCATACACAAAGCATGAAAAGTAACAACAAACAGGTGACATAGCTCATATCATGGATGGACCTAGAGGACATCATGCTGAGTGAAATTTGTCAATCACAAAAGGACAAATATTATATGAGTCCATTATTAGAAAAAGGCAAGAAAAGGGTTTCATGCTAAAAGAAACATTCTTTATTGGCTGCCTGGGGTGGGAGGGAAAGGATGTTATTCACTGGATAGAGGCTGTTGCTGTTAAGTGCTATCGAGTCAAGAGTTTAACAGAATATTTTAATATCATAACGACCCTGTACAGGGCTTTTGAGGAGCAGCTGGTGAGCTTCAACCACCACCCTTGTGGTTCAAATGACTTTGAAATCCAACGCTTTAAACCACAGCGCCACCCCAGGGCTCGGGATACAGGGTAGACACATGTTATCTTGGATGATGGGGAAGGTGGTATACAAGATGGAGGTTGGCGGGAAAATGATAAAAGCTGGAGAAGACAGGGAGAAGTGCAGAGTTAAAGGGAACAGAGGTAAATACTGTTACATATACTATCCTGCAGTACAAGTGAATGGATGTGGGAGAGACAGTGGGGTTGTACTCACAAATATATAAGGGTTCGACAGAGGATATTTGGACATGGTTATTTACCTTTGCTGCAAATATATTCATGAATGTGGTGGAGCACACAGCAAGAAAAATTATGAAAACTTCTGAGACATTACCAAATACCTTGAGGGAATGATTTGCTGAACCTGGAAGCTAGGACCAGTATCAGGGAACACCATTGTCATTGGCATAACATATACCACAAAAACAATGCTCTACATCCTACTTTGGTGAGTAGCAACTGGGATCTTAAAAGTTCAGGTACAGCCACCTAAGGTGCAACAATTGGCCTCTCCCTGTCTGGAAAAAGAAGAGTGACAAAAACTGAAGACACATAGAAACAATTAGTCCAGCGGACTAATGGCTATGGAAACATCCGCCTCCATGACCCTGAGATCAGAAGAACTAGATGGTACCTAGCTATCACTACCAACTACTCTAAAAGGGGTCATATTTTTAGAAGGTCTTGGACAGAGTGGGAGAAAACAAGGAACAAAATTCAAAATCACACACAAAAAAGACCAGGCTTACTGGTCAAATAGAGACTGGTGGAACCCCAAGATTATGGCTCTTGGTTACCCTTCAGTTCGATAATTGAACTCACCCCCACGACTCAATTTCAGTCAAGCAATAGATAGGTATACAGAGGGGACAATAGCACTTGTGAGGTATGCATACCATAGAATGATCAACTGTTCAAGATCAAAGGGCAGCATCTACCTAAGAACAAAATTCAGAAGCGTGGGGGAAAAAGGAGGAAAGGAAACAAGAAACCCAGGGAGGAAGTAGAATAAGTAAGGTTACACTGTTGTTGTTGTTGTTGCTGTTATTGTTAGGTGCTGTCAAGTCAGTTCTGACTCATAGAGACCCTGGGCACAACAGAACAAAATGCAGCCCAGTCTTGCTCCATCCTCACAGCTGTTACACTTGAGCCCATTGCTGCTGCCATTGTGTCACTCCATCTCATTGAGGGGCTTCTTCTTTTTCACTGACCCTCCACTTTACCAAGCATGATGTTCTTCTCCAGGAACTGTTCCTCCTGATACCATGTCCAAAGTATGAGAGATGAAGCCTCGCCATCTGACTTCTAAGGAGCATTCAGGCTGTACTTCCTCCAACATAAAATTTGTTTACTCTGCTGGGAGTCCATGGTGCTTTCTTTCCCAACATCACAACTCAAATGCATCAATTCTTCTACAGTCTTCCTTACTCACTGTCCAACTTTCACATGCATATGAGACTACTGAAAATGCTTTGGCTTGGGTCAGGTGCACCTTAGTCCTCAAACTGACATCTTTACAGCATAGTTGCCTACTGTAATACATCATCTGATTTCTTGACTGCTGCTTCCATGAAGATTGATGTGGATCCAAGCAAAATGAAGTCTTTGATGACTTCAGTCTTTACATTGAGGAAATTGTAATTGAGATAAAATAAAACATATGATTTTTTTTTAATGCAAAACAGATGATCTGCTCCTGTAAACCTTCAGTCACAATAAAAAGTTAAAAACAAAACAAAAACTCACCTTGAGCCTGCATGCGAGTTCTCACCAAAGCCAGGGGGTAACTAGCCAGCTGACCACAGGTGCTGGATAAGGCACCACATCCCAACAGCACCATGACTCCAGGATTTACAGTGTCCTTTGCAAAATTCTCTAGCCAGTGGGACTTCAAGAGCTGCCAAAGGAAAGAATAATGGGAAACTAACTTTACAACTGCTTTCATTTAACATAACATTTCCACTATTCTTTTTCTAGTGAGAGGCATGTCATGTTTCTGCAAGATCATGTAGTATGAAGCCACAGGGTATTCAGAGTATGTGAGGGGTGCACTGATTCCTTACTTATTTTGTTCAAAGTACACTTGAAGATCAATAGCACACCAGACTCTGTAGGATCTAAAGAGCATTTCTGGTGGTGAGTAGTAATAAATTAACATAGCACCATTCCTGCTAATATTCCTAGTCACCATGTTCTATAAGGAGTCCTGGTGTGGCTCAGTGGGTTAACACGCTGGACTGCAAAGTCAGTTTGAACTGCAGGGTGGATGGCTTAAGCTCACCAGCTGCTCCTCAAAAACCCTATGGGTCAGAACTGATTTGACAGCACTTAACAACAACAACTAATATTCTATAAGGAGTCCTAGTGTGGGGCTGTGGGATAATGCACTGGACAACAAGGTCAGTTTGAACCACAAGGTCAGCAGCTCAAACTCACCAGTCACTCCTTAGTAACCCTACAAAGGGTCGCTATGAGTTGGAAGCGACTTGATGGCACTTAACAATAACAACACGTTCTATAAAGACACCACTAACACTGATAGCAGTTACCAAACAAACTTTGACCTTGTTCAAGCTGAACTAGATTCTTACTGTTTGGTTTTCACCCTTTACACATAAGCATGCAGTGAATGCCCACAATAGCATCAGGCAGGGTTACTGCTTTTGGGGTATTATTAAATTTTAACAAGTAGGTGAATTTGCAGAAGAGGAATCCACAAGTAATGAGGATCAATTATAACTGTATCTCATTTTACACTTTCCACATACACTATTTTTCTCAGCCCTTACAAAAACTCCGACATGGATTCTGACGTTATCAATGAGGGTAACTGGTCTCAGGGAGGATTTTAATAAGGGTCTACTGACCCCCAGGCCATGCTTTCCCCCATTATCATTAGGCCTCTGTATTTCAATTAGAAGGCAATCATTAGAAGAAATTATATAAAATATGTATGCTAATCTACTTTTTAAATATAAAATATTTTAAGAATAAAAAAGCATATGCTGGTATGTGAAAAAGTTATACAACTAGTTTAAATATTCTAATGAAAATTTTAACTGCGTACTTGGATTTTATAATTTTTACCATGAGAATAGTCCTATAAAAACTAGAAGTTAAAAGTTAGATTTGAATGTCTTATTCATGCCCATTTAGTACCATAAGACAGCAATAAAGCAAGCCATGGATGCTAAAGAGAACCAGGTCTGAACTACAGAAATGAAGGACTAGAAGTAATTCACTAGAAACAGATAAATGGTACATTTGCACTAGTAAGACCAAGACAGGAAAAAGAGGGGGAAGGGAGGGGATGTATTCTTTATAAAACTCAACAATCTATTTAAAATTCTAATAAATATAAATGAGCTCCTAAGTCTTCCTTCCATGTTCCTTAGTCTATTTTATTCTACCTCCTAGGGACCCATTTCATGATCATTCCTTGCCTCTCAATTCTGTCCTTTATTTTAAATTAATTTGTTTATTCATTGGTCTCCCTTTACTGACGCTGTACCCTCAAGTTATAGATATTCTCAAAGCTCTTATCCTATGAAGGTTCTCCTTTACAACTAGTTTGCCATATCTTCAAGTCTGTTTTTCTCATTCCCTTCACCAAGTTTCTTAAGTATTGTGTACCCCCCTTACTAGGAGTCCTGGTATAGAGCTGCAGGATAATGCACTGGACTGCAAGGTTGGTTTGAACCTCAAGGTCAGCAGTTGTAACTCAGTCATTCCTCAGAAGCCCTATACAGGGTCACTCTGAGTCAGAACTGACTTGATGCCACTTAACAACTGAAGAGCAGAGATGTCAGCTGGAGGACTAAGGTGTGCCTGACCCAAGCCATGGTATTTTCAATAACCTCATATGGATGTGAAAGCTGGACAGTGAATAAGGAAGATCGTAGAAGAATTGATGCCTTTGAGTTGTGGTGTTGTAGGAGAATACTGAAAGTGCCATGGGCTGCCAAAAGAACCAGTAGATCTGTTTTGGAAGAAGTGCAGCTAGAGTGCTCCTTGGAGGCCAGGATGGCTAAGCTTCGTCTCTCATACTTTGGACATATTGTCAGGAGGGAACAGTAGCTGGAGAAGGATGCCATGCTGGTAAGATGGAGGGTCAGAGAAAAAGAGGAAGACCCCTAACAAGATGGATCGGCCAGGTGGCATCATTGATGGACTCAAGTGTGGCAGCGGTAGTGAGGCCCAGGATTGGACATTGTTTCATTCTGCTGTGCATGGGGTCGCTATGAGTCGGTTCTGACTTGATGGCACCTGACAACAACAACAACAACAAAAAACTCCCCTTACTGGCTCTTCAATTGACATTTACTTTTAACTGAACTCCAATATCCAAAAACCACATCACTATAGCTACTCTTATGACAGCCAACAATAACTTAATAGCATGCCTGCTAAGACCAATTCAAAGGAGCTCTAGTAGCATAGTGGTTATGAGTCAGGCTGCTAACCTCAAAGTCAGCAGTTCGAAACTACCAGCCGTTCCGCAGGAGAAAAATGGAGACTTTCTGCTCCCATAAAGATTTACAGCCTCAGAAACCCTGTACAGGGTCGTTATGGGTCAGAACTGACTCCACAGCACACCACCACCAAGGTCAATTCAGTCTACATTGTACTTGAACTTTCCGAGTTCCCCATCATTCCCTCCTTGAAGCTCTCTCCCATGCCCACGCCCAGTCCTGGCATTCTCCCCTGATGCTCCTCCTGCTGCTGTGGCCATTCCTCCCTAGTGACCTCGGCTGCCTTGACTTCCTATATTCAACTCAAATTTTTTTGATAATGTCACCAAAACCCAATGTTTCTTTGCTGAACTCTGATACCCTCAAATCTTTTTCCCCAGCTTAGAACATTTCTGCCAAGCTACAGACTTATACATATATCCAAGTTCGGCATCTCCACTTAAATATTTACAAACACTTCAAGTATAATATTTACAAGCATCAAATTCATATCCCCCACCCCAACCTGGTGTGGCACTATGGAATAAAGCCCTGAACCACAAGGTCGGTATGAACCACAAGGTCAGTGGTTCAAACTCACCAGCCACTCGTTGGAAACCCTAGACAAGGGTTGCTATGAGTCAGAACTGACTCGGCGGGACTTAACAAAAACCACCACCCCAACCAAACCTATTCCTCTGCCAGGATTCCCTACAATCAGACCTAATTAAGTTTCCCACATAATTTGTCCTTCAATAGCTTTTTGTCACCTTCAGGATAGAAGCCAATCTCCTCAGCCAATCAACATAGTGTTTCAGGATCTGAACGTATGCTACTTCTCTATCACCATCAACAAACACAGTCAAATCTTATATGTTAAAGTTACCTGTAATTTTTCAAATGCTCTCTTAAACTTCCAGGTCTCTCTGCCTATGCTATTTCCCAAGCCTCAATCCCTTTTTCCCCACAAGTGTTCTTACTCGTCCTTCAAAAGCCAGCTCAAGAAGTAAAGCTCTCATTGCTTCCCCTCCTAGCATGAGCCCTGGGTGACACAGAGCATTCCCCTGCCAGACCTCCAGTTTCTCAAAGACAGATACCGAGTCTTCTTTTCAATCCTTAAATCCACAGCATCTAATCTAAGACTTGTACATAGTGTGTGCTCAACAAATGTTTGTCAGAATCATGGAGCGACTGAATGGCAGGTCTGAGTCAAGGTTTGTATTCTTCTCTTCTCTCTCCAGCACAAGAAATGAATTTGTGCTGCCCACGCCAGTCTCTTAACTTTATCAGTGTCATTAGATTTTCACAAATTTAAGCATGTGTGCCACTTTTGCATGTTTTCTCTCCCCAACAAAAAATCCCTAGGACCATCTTCTGAGCTAGCCACTATACCTAAATTTGAGTCCATGTTCTTCAACAACAAAATAACTTGTAAGGAAACCTAATACAAAACTGACCCCATACATATGGGACCTCATATTCAAAGTCTTCTTGATTGGTAAGCAAGATTAAATAAACACCACTGAATCTACATTTGGTTACAAACTACTTTCTGGTGCATATATGTAGAGTTGACTTGTCAAGTCCAATTCTAATAAGAAGAACCATCAAATCATATTTTCAGATTCAAAAGATTATTATAAACTCACCTCATATACTGCAAGATCTATGCCTGCATAAGGTATGATGCCTAGTAGGTTGGGAATATAACCTTTGTAAAAAGCTCCAAAGCCTTCATGTTTCAAAATCTTCTTGGCACAGTCATATATGCCAGAGTACTGTCCAGTTTTGCCTACAGCCAGTCTGGTTTTTAAAACCTAGATATGAAAGAATAAAACAGAAATACTACTGTTCATATAAACGGTATCATCGTGACATTCGTAAGTGATTTCACAGAGCACAAATACCTGGCACAAACTGTCACTCAAATAACTGCCCAACTCATTGGCGTGTTCTCCCTCATGTTTTCTCCCTACTGAGGGACAGAGGCCAGGGCAAGGGAGACCCATTTATTGCAAGTGAAAGGATCTGAATGGCAGAAAAACTGGACAGAAGATAATTTATTGATGTCTTAACAGAATTCAAATGGTGACCAATCAGGCATGGCAGGTGAGGAAAACGGTAGTGTAAAGTAAGCCCCCAGTGTTTCTAGTCTGGAACATAAGCTTGGGGTGGGGGGCGTGAGAGCGTGATACTATTAACTGAGATGGAGGATATTAAGGGGAAGAAGAATAGGCGTTTGAGTTAGGAGTTTTTTTTTTAGGGATGTGTGGAGTCATATGAAGACAAATTAATCATGGTGAGTATAACACGGTTATAAAGAAAGCTGTATTGATTTCCATACCACAAAGAAGTAAAATTTAAGGGTGCTTCTTGTTTCAGTTATATCAGTTATTGAAAAACCGGTTGTTATATCAATAAAGATATCCACACATCTACAATGTTATTTTTGCTCTGCAGAACTCAGAAAATGTCTTCTGTAAAAAGTCAGAAAGTAAATATTTGAGGCTTTGCAGCTTAAAATAGCAAGTCACTGTTGCGTGCTCTTTTTCTTCTTCTTTTTTCAACAACCTTTTAAAGTTAAAAAAAGGTAAAAGCCATTCTCACCTCTAGGGTTGTACAAAATAGGTCATGGGTCTGTAGTTTGCCAGTCCAAGGCCTATTAGATGGGTATCTAATTATGATTCATATCACCTACTCAAATCCTGGGTCTCCTGGTGTGGCGCTGTAGGATCAGCACTAGACTTTCAACCACAAGGTTGTCAGTTCAAACCCACCAGTTGCTCCTTGGAAACTCTATATAAGGTTGCTATGAGTAGAATAGGACTCGATGGCACTTAACAATAGCAACTCAAATCCTGAGGTTCCATTATTAAATTCATAGTACTGAAACTCTTTGGATAGGAATAGGAGTCATAATGCTCACTAACACTGGTAGCCAATCCAAGATGGCTTCCAACAATCCCTGCCTACTGGTGTTCATACACTTGTGTCATTTCCCCCCTCCCACATTCTACCAGGGGTGATCTGGGTGACCAATAGAATATGGAAAAGGGAAAAAGCATTTGTCTTCCATCTTGAGTGCTTGCTTTCTTCTCTCTCTCTCTCTTTTTCTTTCTCATACACATATACATACTGACTCTGGGGGAAGCCAACTGCTATGCTGTAAGGATATTCAGGCAGCCTATGGAGACACCCCTGTGGTAAGGAACCAAAAGTCTCCAGCCAATATCCAGCGAGGACCTGAGGACTGCCAATACCCAAGACTAGCTTGGAAGCAGATCTGCCCCACTCCTGTTGAGCACCAGGAGCCCACAGCCCTGGCTGACACTCTGATTGTAGTCTGGGAGACCCTTGAGGTGAAAGGCACCCAACCAAGCTACTCCCAGATTCCTGACCCACAGACAGTGTGAGGGGCTTGGTGTTTATACTGTCAATGTTGGCATAATCATAAATAACAAACATGAGCAGACTTCAGTCAGACTTCACAACAGTTCTTACCTCCATGGGGTAAATAAAAGTCTGTGCAGTTGCTCCAGCCATGGAACCCGAAATAAATCTCTCAAAGGTTCCTACTTTTTGTCCTTCTTCAGTAAGCAATTTTTTATACTGTATAAATGAATTTTTTAAAGTGCATTAGTACCAAAATAGAAATCAGTTCTTAGAAATGAATTAACTGACACCGTATCTCAAAATACAGCACTGCATTAACAATACCTAGCAGAAAAGCAAGGCTTAAATGTGAATATATTCAGTTCACTAGACAGTGGTTTTCAAGATAGGTTCCCACAGAATGCAGATCTTCCAAAGTGCTCCTTGGCTAAAACAAAATAATAGCATTTTTCCCCCCAAATGCAGAGAAAATTAGGAGTTATTTTAGGATATTTTCCTATAGATATTTTTTTCAGGATTAATTTTTATCAGCATAAACAAAACTAGTAAAGCAGTGTCACATAAATACTAACAAAACAATTTAGAAAAACGGTTTTTGTAATTAAGAAGTATAAATACACTAACATGTCAACCCTGCCTGGTTGACTGGACCAATGGTGGGAATCTGACCCAAGTGCAACCCAAATATCAATTGGGCAGGGTGTTAACGTCAGGAGGGCCCCAGAGTGAAACAGACCTGGGCTGTAATCCCAGGACAGTCGGGCCTTGCACACATTCATAAATATGTTCCGACAGCAGTTTCCTCATTTGCAATGACAGTACCAACCTCATGAAGTTGCTGAACAAAGTCAATAAGATAATACATGCAACACAGCACAGTGCTAGGGCACACAGCAAATGTTCAATGAATGCTATTATTACTAATTTATGATCTTTAAACATCTTGGAGAAAAAAAAGTCTACCCAAATGTAAACTGAGGTATAAAGCAGCCAGGCAAATCAGACTCCTCCTCTCAGTAATGCTAGGAGAGTCTGCAGAGGTAATCAGCCACTGACACCAGAGGGAAGCATGGAAAACTCAATGGAGAGCAGCAGACATGAGGAGAAGGTAGGAGGGACTTCTCTGAGGATTGTGCCCTTGTAGCCACACTTGTCCATTCAATAACCCCATTCTCTGAGCTAGTCAGAATTTTTGTTCCTTAATATCTAAAATGGTCCCTAGGTGGGGCCTTAAAAGGCCCAATGCAATAAATGACATATGCACACTTTCTCTTTATAAAATTATGTTCCTCTGTTCATGACACAAATTTAATCTATTCTTATTTCATAGAATTCCCTCAAATAGCAGATATTCCTCCATAAAGAGATCAGTGCTTCCAGGTGCTCTGTACCAGAATGTTGAGTAAAACTTCTTTTCAACCTGGGGCCTATTAATTTTCCTGCCTATTACATTACCACCATCATTAAATAGAATTTGTTTTTTCTTTTAAAAAAAATGCCCTGCCTATTAACAGGAACCAGAAAGGCACTTTTATATCTTGTACCCTCCATAGTACTTGCCTAAGGCATTCAGTGAATATTTGATGATTAATTAGGAATAAGTATTTCAAATAGGCAGGAGATTCAGGGCTCCTCTGCCCTCAAACACACCATATGTGGAGGGAAAAGTTGAGGACAGAGAGTCTATAAAGTGCTAGGCTCTGTGCCAGATACTTATACTATGCTACCAAACCTAATTCCCATCTTGGAAATGAGCTGACAGTCACAGAGACTTTAAGTAGTGTGCTCAAGATCACAGAATTTGACTTTCCTCTTGTCTGTCTTGGTTCTCTCCCATTTGTTAGAATACTTATTTCATTCAGTCTTTCCCATTTTCTTCCAACTTCCAACATCATTTCCTCCCTCATTCTCAGCAAGTTCTTCTCTTGGAAATTCAAGGGAGAATAGAGAAGCCATCAGACAAGCATATCTTGGTGTTCCTGCCAAACCCTGTAAGACTATCCATTTCCATGTGTATCTTCCTTCTTCCAAAACTGGCATAAGGAAAATCCCGTAGCCAGAGGCTAATCCTTCTAATATGCTCAGGATCATGTCTATTTTTCCTCTAGTCCCTTCCCACCCTACCCCATCACACACACACACTCTGAACACCTGCTGGTTCATCAACCTCCACTGCCTTATATTGAACTTCCCTCTTTGTACTGACATATTTCTTTTTACACATTGTTGTTAAGTGCCATCGAGTCGCTTCCGATCCATAGTGACCCTGTATAGGGTTTTTGAGGAGCAGCTGCACATGGGAAAAAAAATTAAAATATGCCCTCTACCTTTCATCTTTGTTATCTACCACTCTCTTTTCTTCTTTCACAGTCAAACTCCTTGAAAAAGCGACTATCCGCTCCAATTTTCTTTACCTCCCATTCAGTTTATCTTATTTCAGTATGGTTTCTCATCTCATTACTGAACTGAAAGATATATACCAAGTTTCCCTACCTCTGGGTTGATAAATCATAAAAGATACTTTCCTTATATTATTTGACCTTTCATGAAACCCTTCTCTCTTGCACTGATTTCTCTGCATTTCTTCCTGTCTTCTTAGTCATTTATGCTCCATCTTCTTTGCAAGTTTCTTCTACTTCCACTTCTTTGTTTGGGCTTTCTTTCTTTTTTCAGAATTCCTTTGGGCTTTATTCTCAAAAGTCATCTTACTAGTTTTCTTGAGTGATTCAAGTCATTACAATAGATTCAACTCAATAAAAACCTCTCTAGCAAAGATCTCTCTCCTAACTTCTGAGCGATGAGTCCATAGAACTACTGGACTGTCTATGAGTGTTGTGGATTGAATTATATCCCTCAAAGAGATATGCTGGAGTCCTAATAGCCTATACCCATGAATATGACCTTGTATGGAAATAGGATCTTTGAAGATGTTGCCAGTTAACATGAGGTCCTAATCCCATATAAGTGGTGATGCTGTAAAATAAAAAAAGAGAGACAGACAGACAAAGACAGCCATGTGAGAATGAAACTATTTCAAGGAATATCTGGGGCCACTGGAAGCTAAGTGAAACAAGAAATGATCTTCTCCTAGAACCTTTGGGGAGAGCCTGGCCTCTGCTGACATCCCTAATCTATACTACTAGACTCCAGAACTATGAGATAACAGATTTCTGCTGTATAAAGGCCCCCTTTTTTGTATTTTGTTACAGGTGGCCTGAGGAAACTAATACACAACAATATCTCAAATTCAACATAATGGAACCTGACATTTTCCTCAAAAATCTATCCTTCTTATTGTATTCTCTCTGCATTCAGTTGCTGAAGATCATCCTTGATTTGATTTCTTTCTTTCTTTTTTTTTCATTTCCAGTTACTGAGTTCTGTTGATTTTATTTCTAAAATGTTTTTTAGTTCATTCCTTTTTTCTCTATATCTACAGTCACTACCTTCTACTGGTACTCATGGTTTCTTTCCTGAATTACTAAAATATTTCCTTAAGTAATCTCCCTGCCTCCAGGTCTAGCCTCACTCTCTTCCAATCCATTCTCCACTCTTCTGTTAAGTTGATCTTTATTAAATGCAAATACACGCCCCTGTATAAGATGCTTCAATAACCCTCCACTAAATCCAAGAAAACTCTAAGCTAACATGACATTGATTCTTGCCTACCTGTCAGCCTTCTTTCATCATAATCTTTCCTGATGCACCATCCACTACACTTGAGCTATAGTGAACCACCTTCAAATCAATGCATGGGAGGCTCTCTTGCATAGGCTTCTGTCTTTCTGCCTGCAATACCCAAGCTTCCCTTCATCTTAATGGGCTTGAGACTCAGGTTGGCTCGGGCTCAAATACCAGTTTTGGCTGTTTTGTCTTTTCACTCATTTAGTGAGGATTTATTTTCACTGAGAAAGATTCTGGGGAAGACAAATCTGAAAACAAATAATTATTGCCTAAGGAAACTCTGCCTCATTCAGGAAGGACAATAGCACTGAGATCATCAGAATTCAGTGTGAAAGTCCTAAAACAGAGATGCAAAGAGAACTAGAACAATGCAGAAAAACAAACCAAAACTCACTGCCAAGGAGTCAATTCAGACTCATAGGGCCCTGTATAGGATTTCTGAGGTGGTAAACCTTTACAGGAGCAGAACGCCTTTTCTTTCTCCAGTGAAGCAGCTGCTGAGTTTGAACTGAAGACCGTGTGGTTAGCAGTCTTATTGCTACTCTACAGTCCCATCAGGAAACAGTGCAGAAGAAAAACTCTAGTCTAGATTGAGCAGTGAGGTTGTCAGGGGAGGTTTCATGGAGTAAACAAGTCCTAAGTAAAGTTTTGAAGGATGTGCACCACTAGATGACATATGGAAAGAGAAATTACGGGTGCTTATATGTGTTGGTGGGGCAGAGGTACCCTAGGATATGCAAGCAGAGATAGAGATATGTGGTATGTAGGTGGTAATACGTATGGAGATGAAGGGAAAGATGACAGACTGGATGGCAGCTAGTACATAGAAGCCAGTTAAAATGTCATAGCTTTATACAATAGAACATTGACCCAACACAGCCACATTGCAACCCTGTCATTGATACAATTACATACCACTGCAGTAATGACAACTCAAAGAGACCAAACTGAGAATGAGTTTGAACAGCTACTCATCAGGCTGAAAACATCCTTTTGTTAATGTTCTACATTATTAGTTATTCAACGAATAAGACCTAACTGACTTTAGAAGTAAGTTACCAAATATTTCATGAAATCTGAGAATACACCCCACTTAGATTACAATGAGGTTTCCATTATCCAATGGGTAACTGGATATTCTGCAATTCACTATTCTAAGGAGACTGGAAGCTGTCAAGGATTTTATTTTATTTGGATCTACAATCAACACCCATGGAAGCAACAGTTAGGAAATCAAACAACATATTGCACTGGGCAAATCTACTTCAAAAGACCTCTTTAAAGCATTAATGAGTAAAGACGTCCCAAACCATGGTATTTTCAATTGCCTCACATGCATGTGAAACATGGATAATGAATAAGGAAGACTGAAAAATAATTGATACATTGAAATTGTGGTGTTGGTGTAGAATATCGACTATACCATGGAAAGCTAGAAGAACAAACAAATGTGTTTTAGGAAAAATACAGCCAGAATGCTCCTTAGAAGCAAGACTTCATCTCATGTACTTTGGAAATATTATGAAGAAGACGCAGTCCCTGAAGAAGGACATCATGCTTGGTAAAAGAGAGGGTCAGCAAAAAAGAGGAAGACCCTCAACAAGCTGGAATGATATAGCAGCTGCAACAGTGGACTCAAACACAACAATTCTGCAGATAGCACAGGACCAGGCAGTATTTTGCCCTTTGTACAAAAGGTCGTTATTAGTTAAAAACCGACTACCCAAAGGCATTGGTTTTGGCTGAGATGCTTAAGAACACTTCTTAGAGGTAGCAAACCTTAAGAAGACCATGACGGATGAATGAATTTTCAAAAGGAAAGGAAAAGTCGAAGGACATCTCTAAGAAAATTTAGCATGCAGAAATAAGAACACTGTGACGAGGATTCAGAAAACAGTCCCGCTGAATGGAGGCAAATAATGCCTAGTGGTAAGGTCTCAAAGTAAGAATCTGACTAGTGGCATAAAATGCCATACACATGTTTACGTGCAATAACAAGGGACTTTCAAAAACATCAAAGATCTTGCATAGTGAGATTATAGGTTTATTCTTAAACATTTATTTTAGGCTTTGGCTTTACTGTCAAAAAATCCAAATGTGTGGTCAGAATAACTTAAGGATATCTAAAATATTAGCATTATTAGTTGCGATATGAATCCTCAAATACTCACAGAAAACACACACACATCCTTCCCAAAGATAGGTTCTAACCTAGTTTTTCTCTGCGTCTCTATTTCTTAAGTCAAGTAAAAGTACTTGTGTGATCTTAAGAGTATTTTGATTCTTTAAGAAAACACTTGTAAAAAACAATTTAAAGTCTATTTGCAATAATAGAAAAAATATATATACAATGGAGTTAAATTTCAATGCCCTTAGAGTCTTTCATAAACAACTATGTTGTTGTTGTTGTTATGTGCCATCGAGTCGGTTCCGACCCATAGCGACCCTGTATAGGGTTTCCGAGGGTGTAAATCTTTACGGGAGTAGAAAGCCTCATCTTTCTATAGGATAATGAAAAAATAATTCTTGTGGATGCTCAACTATACAGTACTGCTACTCGCAAATCTGCTGCACAAGACCTTTTTAAGTGCTGAAAAGCAAAGATGTCAGCTTGAGGACTAAGGTGTGCCTGACCCAAGCCATGGTATTTTCATTAACCTCATATGCATGCAAAAGCTGGACAGTGAATAAGGAAGACCTTAGAAGAAGTGATGCTTTTGAGTTATGGTGTTGGAGGAGAATATTGAAAGTGCCATGGGCTGCCAAAAGAACCAATAGATCCATTTTTGTAAGACACGCAGCCAGAGTGCTCCCTGGAGGTCAAGATGGCCAAACTTTGTCTCTCATACTTTGGACATATTGCCAGGAGGGACCAGTCACTGGAGAAGGATATCATGTTTGGTAAGGTGGAGGGTCAGAGAAAAAGAGGAAGATCCCCAATGAGTTGGATTGGCCAAGTGGCAGCATCGATGTTCTCAAAGTGTGGCAACAGTAGTAAGGTTGACCCAGAATCGGGCAGTGTTTTGTTCTACTGTACATGAGGTCGCTATGAGTCGGTACTGACTCGATGGCACCTAACAACAACAACAAATGGACCATTAAGAGAAATCAAACTCGCTAACTAATTACTAAATGCTAATATCTTAAGTTAACAAAAATCAAGAGACAAATTGGATTCAGAGGTAGAATCATTTGTTTGTTCATTCAACAAACACTCACCGAACATCTCTCCTGTACCAGGTTCAGGTTAGGCACTGGAGCGCATACAGAGAAGCCCTTGTCTTCATGAAACTTTCACTCTAAATTCAACTCACTTTTACAGCAATATTAAATTATACAAAAAAAAATTCAACTTCAAAGTTTTCCTTCCAGATATTAAGCTGGGATGTTTCCATAGAACTTATGTTAATGTGCAGCTCCGTTCTATGTTCTGTTCTGAATTCAAAATCAGTAAGCTGCAAACCTACCCTTCTTTAAAAGTCTACTTAGAAAGTAGCACAAAAGTCTTTCTTTATAATTGATATGAAATTCAGAATCACAAAACTTAACTTGAGGAATCTCTGAGTTCATCTAGTCTGAACTCCCGTAAGAGAAGTTCTTCATCGAATAGATGTGAAAAATTATCATGTAGTGCAACAGTTATCCCAAAAGCACTATATGCTTATCTTTATTAAATCCATTACCAATGCCTCTTTGTTAATAAACTACACTGGTGTTAGCAATTACCTGTTCATATGCCCAGAATTTAACAGCTGTCTCAGGAGCAATTTTAATGACATTTGTACCATTTCCTCTCCAAAGGGAACGAATGCCTCCTTCTTTCACCATCTGTCGAAAGCCACCAACTAAGTTCATTTTGTCTGATTTGGACCCATGAACCTAAAAATAAAAGTCAAATGATATAAAACATAGGTGATATGCTACTGTTACTAGCTCCAAACTAACTGTGCCAACTACCTTGTTCAATAATATTTATAATAACAGATGTAGGTGAAAATACAGAAAATTCTTCAGACAATACCAGGGCTTTGAATCAGTTCCTTCCTGTCTGACTTTCTGCTGAGAATTCGGATGTACATCTCACAAGATCCCCACCTGATACTTATAGATCCTCAGAATAACCTGGACACAAAAGAATCACATGGGGATCTTGTTAAATGTAGATTCTTATTCAGTATCTCTGGGGTGGCCATCCAAATTCTCACCAGGAGCTCAAACAGGAATGAACTGGTTCAAAGCACTGGTAAGTAAGTACACAGTCATGGGAGGAGTCTTGTATCTGAACCTAAAACTAAGAAGAATCAGTATTCTTCAGCCTGGGGATGTAGACAAAGAAGACATGGTCAAAATTCAAATGATCTTGAACACCATTTGTTAGATAATGGGAACAAATGATGCAATGTTAGGCTATAGTTTAAGATAAATTAAAAAGAAGTAACACTGAATGTAAAACCTTCACCCCTCCCCACAAGAAGTAGTGCAGACTTGGCTTATACTACAGATGTAGGAGCTACTACCAACTAAGGTGTACTCGGCCTTATTGTTGTCTATATAAAAACTGATGAAATAGAATAAACCAAAGAAATGTGTTTTTCTTGTGATTGTTTCAGCTTACACAAGAGTGTTACTGTTGTTGTTAAGTCCCATCAAGTCAGTTCTAACTCATATTGAGCCTGTACAGGGTTTCCGAGGAGAAGGTGGTGGATTTGAACCACTGACCTTGTGGTTAGCAGTCCAGTGCTTATCCTACAGTGCAGCACAAGGGCTCCTACACATGAGCAAATACTACCAAAAAACAAAACAACAACAAGAAAAACCACCTAAATCTATGAGCACATGATATAAAATAAAAATACTTTAGAAGCTATAATATGTCTATTACTAGTAAATGATTACTCTATTTGTCTGTATAATTCATAGCACAAATAAATAAAATAACCATAGACAGAGTCTTACTATGTAAATTCTCTAATTCATATCCTTGTCCTGATGCATAAGGAAACTCATATAGTCCTTGAGGGATATCAACAATCTTCAGCTAATGCATTTTACTCCCTCTCATGGCCTTCAATTTCAGATGAAAAATATCATTTCCTAGAGCAGTATGTTTTTTATGCATGCAAACATAACTATAATAGTCACTGAAAAACAGACTAATTGATATGCTTTTCTAAATCCCAAGTAAGCCTATATTGTTCCTAAAGTACAAGCTTTTTGAGAGGAAAATAGTAAGTCACTACTCACTTCAATTTCCCTTCACAGCATTTCATATAATTAACACATATTAGGTGCTCAATAGCTACTTATGAAATTAGTACACTTCAAGAACTAGAAAATAATCATGCTGGAATCAGGCTTTTAATTTTGTTTACAATGATGGAACATTAAACTAGGATTGTTGAGTTCTATGCTGTCATATCATAAGGAAGGAAAAAGCCCAGAAAAAATTCAATTTTAAATAAACAAGATTCACAATAAATATAAATTCGAATGCTTATTTGAGTTTTCTCAAAGTTAATAATTTATGGTTCCTAAATGAAAAACAAAACAAAATACAAAAACCCTCTCCACTTTTTATTTAGAGCATTATCTTTGCTCCTAAATACATTTTGGTGTTTGAGCACATTCTAAATGGATTCCAGTTACAAATATGCCCATTAATCTTCCCATACATAAATCTAAAGACAAATATTCAAAATGGTGACCCTTGGTAAAACAAATACAACTTTTAAAAATATTTAAGTAACTACTGTGTTCTAATAGGAGTCCTGGTGTAGCACTGTGGGTTAATGTGCCAGACTGCAAAGCCATTTGAACTGCAAGGTCAGCGGTTCAAGCTCACCAGCTGCTCCTTGGAAACCCTATACAGGGTTGCTATGGGTCAGAACCGACTCAACAGCACTTAACAACAACAATGTTCTAACAGTATATTCCAGTATGTCAGACATTTTCACATACCTTCATGTCACTCCATTCTTACATCCCCGATTGCTAGCTATTCTTGTTGCTATTCCACAATGGAGGAACATGAGACCTCAGGGGTTTTAAGCAATGGGAGAAACACCCATTCTTTGGAGCCCCATCCACTGCTGTCAAGTCAATTCCAACTCATAGTGACCCTCTAGGACACAGGAGAACTACTCTATAGTGTTTCCAAGACTGTAAATCTTTGCAGGAGCAGACAGCCTCATCTTGCTCTTGAGGAGTGGCTGGTGGGTTTGAACCTCTGACTTGTGGTTTGCAGCCCAACACTTAGACCAGGGCTCCTGAAAGCAACCCCACTCCTTCTCTCATTTGTTGTAAAGGAAAAGTGAATTTAATTCTCTGAGCCTCAGATTCCTGAAGGGTAAAATGAGGATAAAGTACTCATCTCATTGGGCTGCAATGGAAAGATTCAATGGTTTACCATCATGTTGTTGTTGTTGTCAGGTGCCATCGAGTCAGAACCAACTCATAGCGACCCCATGCACAGCAGAACGAAACAATGTCCGATCCTGAGCCAACCTCACTACCACGGCCACACTTGACACCATCAATGATGTCACCTGGCTGATCCATCTAGTTGGGCGACTTCTTCTTTTTCTCTGACCCTCCACCTTACCCAGCATGACATCCTTCTCCAGCGACTGTTCTCTCCGGACAATGTGTCCAAAGTATGAGAGATGAAGCCTAGCCATCTTGGCCTCCAAGGAGCACTCTGGTTGCACTTCTTCCAAAACAGATCTATTGGTTCTTTTGGCAGTCTGTGGCACTTTCAGTATTCTCCTCCAACACCACAACTCAAAGGCATCAATTCTTCTACGATCTTCCTTATTCACTGTCCAGCTTTCGCATCCATATGAGGCTATTGAAAACACCATGGCTTGGGTCAGGCACACCTTAGTCCTCAAGCTGACATCTCTGCTCTTCAATACTTTAAAAAGTTCCTGTGTAGCAGATTTGCCCAGTGCAATACTTCATCTGATCTCCTGACTGCTGCTTCTGCGAGTGTTGATAGTTGATCCAAGAACGAAGTCCTTGACAACTTCAATCTTTTCTCCATTGATAAGAATGCTGTTTACTGGTCCAGTGGTGAGGATTTTTGTTTTCTTTACATTGAGTTGTAATCCATATCGAAGACTGTGCTCTTTGATCTTCATTAGTAAATATTTTAAGTCCTCTTCACTTTCAGCAAGCAAGGTTGTATCATCTGCGTATCTGAAGTTTTTAATAAGTCTTCCTCCAATCCTGATGCCACGTTTTCCTTCATAGAACCCAGCTTCTCGGATTATTTGTTCATGAGCACTAAAGAAATCCTAATTCCTTTCCTTTCCCTCTGTACACCTCTCATTCCCCCGCCAAGGCTACACTGCTCGCAAACAGATGTCTGTTTTCAAGATTCCAGAATTCAGAAATATACCACTTCTGATAAAGTACATAAAATACAAGGACAATGCAAATAATCTAAGGAGAATCCTACAACAATGGTTAGAGATTTTCTCTTTTAATTAAACATCAAATAGGCCTAAGAATGTCAAAAGTAAAAATTTCATTCCATATGTTGTCATTGTGGTCAAGTGCCCTGTATAGGGTTTCTGAGGAGCAGCTGGTGAGCCTGAACCTCCGACCTTGCAGCCCAGCACATTAACCCCAACATTTTAAAGTTTGATAGAATCTAAAAATATCTTCATGGACTGAGATGTTGTTAAGTGCCGTTGAGTTAGTTCCCTGTATAAGGTTTCTGAGGAGCAACTGGTGGGGTTTAGAATCACCGACCTTGTGGTGAGCAGTGCTTATCCTATAGTGCCACAATTTAGTTAGTAGCCACAAAATAGAAAAGTTTTTAAAGCTATGAAAGGACATTACTGAGAAAATTTAAAACTTCCTTTTAAAAGCACTATTATTTTCCCCCCACTAAATGTTTTAGAACATTTAGCGTTTGCTGAGAAAACTCACCTGCATCATGACTTTCAGACGATCCAAAGGGGCAGTACTTGTTCGGGAGACAGCACCAGCAACCCCTCCCGCCAAAAGCTGCCTCCACCACTGTCCAGATATTTTTTCATCTTCTGTGAATTCATCTGGAATAGTTAAACTATCCCCTATGTCAATTCCCTGTTAAAATGGAAAAGAAAAACCTCATGTTTCTTCTGTTAGAATCAGATTACCCCAGAAGTGTTTTGTACAGAAGAATCATGTTATTTTATATTTACAATCAACTTTATTTCTTAGAAAGTACAGTGACCCAATTTGAGCATATAGATTATTGTAAACACCCCATTCACAATATAGCAACTGCACTATAAGTTCACAAAAAATGAAGACTAACAGCAATTTCAAAATCATAAGACCAAGAATTACAGCTTTCTTTCTTAATTCATTCAGAGTAACTTCTCTCTTCCTGATCTAAAGCACAATGAAAGTATTACCGAATATTCTACCAAGTGTAGTGAATTCTTTTTAGTTACAGTCACATCTCATAATGCCAGAAAACTATTCTAATGCACAATGGTATTGTCTAAAAAATGATTTTGCTAATTCCTCAAAGATATTTCTGTTACCTCAAAAAGTATCTCTAATATCCTAATATGCTTTATTGAAGAAATTATAATGTTTTAAAGTACACATATGAAGAATCCTAAACTCATTTTTATGCAGACTGTCTGTAAACAGCATTATGGATTTGATTTGTAATTTTAAAAAGATTCATAAAATTTTGCTATTGGGAAGGTATTATTTTCAATGCTCCCCCAATCTATTCTAAACATTATTATAGATTACAAACATAGCTTAAGAGTAAACAAAGTTTTGTAACAATACTTTTACAACTGTATCTTTGAAATGATTTCAGTGTATAACATTTTATAGGTAAGAATATAAGGACAAGGGATTATGCTATGGTCATAATCCCCTTCCTTCTTTTAACTACCAGTAAAATGAATATATAAATTTTTTTTTAACCTCAAATGTTACCATTTCCAAAGATGTCATAAGAATATGATCATATAAATATATCCTCATATAAGCATATATTTTATCTAGGCAACTAAACTATTAATGTATTAACATTTTATACTTACAGTTGGAAAGACATTAAATACTAATAATTTTGCAACAATCTAAATAAGCCTAGGCATTGTTACTAGTGGCAATCTGAACTCTAGGCTTCACTTAATGCAATGAAATTTTTTTAATGTCTTAATTGTATATACCAAATTTCTGAAATCCATGAAAAAGTATTAAAGACAAACCCATCAGGATAAAAGCAAAATCCCCTCAGAAAGCTCCCATTGGTTTCAGGAGCAGATTGCAGAGTAACTCAAACTTTGTGTATAAATTGTTTATTTTATCAGCATATTCATGACTTTTAATTTAAAAACTTGAAAGTTGTTTTGGAAGACAGACAGGTATGAAAGGCTGAGAAGTTGAGCCAGAAATATTTTTTAACCTTTAATGATTTTACTCTAAGTACCTTCATTATGCCAGCGATAAATCTGGGCATTATGACTACACAAGCAAAAATTTCTGAAGAGACCTTTGGTCATCATCAATGGTCAAAGAGAGATTTTGGCAGTCATGAGGTACTGATATGATTTATTAGGTACTGCATCTGTATAATGTAAATGCCTATCACTTTCATACCTCGAAGGCAGAATAAGTAAACAAACAAAGCACCAAACCTGCTACCATCAACTCTATTTCGACTCACAGCAACACTATAGGACAGAAGAAAACTGTCCCCTCCTAAAAAAAACCTATACAGGGTTGCTATGAGTTGGAGCTGACACAATGGCACTTAACAGCAAACAACATTTGGGTTTCCAAAGCTGCAATCTTCACAGAGCAGACCACCACATCTTTCTCCAGAGAACCAAGTGGAGGGCTTGAACTGCCAACATTTCTGTTAGCAGCCGAGCACCTGCTTAAATATAAATACAAGATGGGCAGCTTATCCTCAAGAAAGTACCTCTTCCAAATTCTGAGAATCTAGTGAAAATAGATACTACATCTTCAGAATTTATGTGGTCTTGAAGATTTCTTTTACGATACTCTAACCGTATACTTAATAGATGACATAGTTTAGTAACTACTGGGACTTGTACCTCCTGGCTGTGTTCTAGGATGCTCTTGGGTAACATCTGTGCTTATAGCTTATAGCTCCAAGGAAGTATAAACTAACACAAAATACACACTTACAGTAGAATGTTTCCAGAAACGGATAATTTCCTCAATGTCCGTAGCAGGGTTAAATAAGAAGTAGTCCCGCCATTCATTCCAGTCCACGGTCATCGTTCCATCAGCATCAATGCTGAAAATGAAGCCTCTCATTAAAGAATGAAACAAAATTGATAAATAAAGCTAACATAAGTGGCTATTTTACAAAGTAACAGGCTTTTTTCCTACTTAATATTGTTTTTAAATTTTAAAAGTCTCAATTCATAAGTATAAGTTGTTGGAAATGGCAGCAAGCATTTGATGTTCTTGTCAGATATGTTTATATATCTAAATAAAAATGGGCCCAAAAATCAAAGGGATCTTACAAACGACTAATTTCAACATAGGCCAAACATTAAGACAATGAGCTATTAAAATGAAAGGCTGAAAGGTTTGGGGAAGTAGTACTGATCAGATCCATATTCCATTTTCCCTTGCACGGCCTCTGAAAGCATTTCTTAATGTTCTGTTGCAACTTGAATGTGATTTTGAAATAAATTGAAAATATGCCATCAATGTCTTTTTCAGCAAGTTAAGAAAATTAACAAGTGAATGTAAAACAGCAAACCCTTTATGATTGGGCCTTTGAGTCTTAAATATCTCAGCTTCAATATTTAAAATTAACACATTTTAGCCTTAAATATGTGGGAGTACTATGGCTCTGTAGGATAAACACTGGACTGGTAACCACAAGGTTAGCAGTTCAAGCCCACCAAATGTTCAACAGGAGAATGAGGAGGGTTTCTGTCCTCACAAATATTTACTGCCTTGGAAACACTATACAAGGCCACTATGAGATAAATGGAGAAAAGGTTGAAGTTGTCAAAGACTTCATTTGTTTGGATTAACCATGGAAGCCGCAGTCAAGAAATCAAAGGATGTATTGCATTAGACATATCTGCTGCACAAGACCTCTTTAAAATATTCAAGAGCAAAGATGCCATTTTAAGGACTAAGGTGTGCCTGACCCCAGCCATGGTATTTTCAACAGCTTCATATGCATGTGGAAGTTAGACAATGAATAAAGAAAACCATAGAGGAATTGATGCATTTGTGTTATGATGTTGGAGGAGAATATTGAAAGTACTACACAAGAACAAACAGATCTGTGTTGGAAGAAGTACAGTCAGAATGCTCCTTAGAAGCCAGGATGGCCAAACTTTGTCTCTCATACTTCAGATACATTCTTAGGAGAAACTAGTCCCTGGAAGAGGACATCATGCTTGGTAAAGTGGAGGGTCAGTGAAAAAGAGGAAGACCCCCAACAAGATGGACTGGCACAGTGACAGCAGCAATGGACTCAAGTGTAGCAAGGACTGTGAGGTTGGCACAAGACCGGGCAGTGTTTTCCTCTGTTGTCATAAGGTCGCTATGAGCTGGTACCAATTTGATGGCATCTAACAACAGCAACAAATGAGTTGGAGCCAACAGCAACAACAACAAGACTTAAATACCTGTCATTAATTTTAAGGTTCAAAGCAATAATGGCATTGGTGTCTGCTTCTCCTAAGAACAACTCTGAATTAACTGTGCCCAGATGTATGAATGTTTGTTCACTACCGTCTACCCAGCACCAAGAAGATGTTCATTTGTTTGTTGAATGAATGCATGTCTCTAGAAAAAAGTTTCAATGTCTCCTCCAAATTTATTTGTTTTTTACATTAATGTGGATTTGTGTGAAGATAATTCATAAAGATAGCAGTCCAATAAAATCCAATTTCAGATATTTAATGTTAGGTTTTCTACTACCACTTTTTAAGGAGCTCTGGTTGCATGGTGGTTACAAGTCAAGCTGTTAATTTCAGAGTCAGCAGTTTGAAACTATCAGCGGTTCCACAGGAGAAAGACGAGGCTTTCTGCTCCCATAAAGATTTACAGGGTCGCTGTGAGTTGGAACCAACTCCATGGCACATAACCGCCACCACCAAGCAGCATCACTACTACTGTTTATTTGGATCTGCATATGTAAATTTATATTTACAATTTCATTTGTCCCAGCACACAGGTATTAACATTCTACATTCCCTGAATCCTAGTCACTGTGCTTGTCACAGTATTCCGAGCTACAATATAGATAGCTTGATTGATATCAGTATTTTATATTTTAATATAATTCTGAGCTACCTGTTTTAATTGGGGATATAACATGACATGGCTGTAACATACCAGGTAATTTTTTAAAAATGTAAGTAAGTTACAATTAACATGAAAATGCTTTAGCCAAGATGAACCAAACTGTTAAATGAATAGTAGTCAAAATGAACCCAACAGTGAACATGTTTACCTCTCAGTCCTCATAGTCTTTTCCTCCTACAGTCATTCCACATTGACCTCCTTGCTGTTCTTCAAAGGTGTCAAGCACATTTCTACATAGGACCCTCTACTGGTTGGACTATTCTTCTCCAAGTTCTCCATATAGCTCATCCTCTCATCATCTTCAAATCTTGGTTCAAATGTCATACCCTCAACAGGGCTTACTTTCTTAATACTGTATGTAATCTGCTATCACTGCCCAGAGCCCACCTCCACTCCATGTTCCCAAACCCCTTTACTTGTTCATTATCTTCTAACATAATGAACATTCCCAACATCCTCCACATGTATACGTAAGTATATTCTATAAAGGCAAAGATTTCTGTTGATCTAATATAATCTTGCACAGATAAGTAATAAATGCTTATTGAATGAATGACAGACTTAAGTGATGAACTTCTTGCTATGTCTTCAAGTTACTAACATAGTTGAGCATCTTTGGCCATGCTTACTGATTATTCATGTTTTCCCATGTGTGAAATGTCCATTCATGTCTTTTGCCCATGTTTTCAATGAGTTTATTTTTGTCTGATTCACATTCTGGCACATTTAGCCCACAGCCACAGACTGAAAATGGGATACTTAGCCCCATTGTACTCCATGTATCCTGGAAGAAATCTGCAAGGTAAGCACTCTTGAATTTCAAACCCGTGTTTCACTGCTTTCATGATTCCTTATTAAGTCTTAAGCTTTATTTATGTGTTTCTCCACCTGAAATTATGCTTCTGTTCATTCTATTTGTAGTTTCCATCTGCTCTCTAGTGGACAATTTTGGTAGGAATTCCAACATTGGCACTCTATGTGGGCATTTTAAGATAAGTAATTCTATTTCTCTTAGGAGGGTTGGGGTCATTTGTACGCATTTTGGTGGGGATCTTGAGCTGTCAGATTGTGATGGATGTCTGTGGTGGAATCACTAAAAGTCTTGCAAGAAGAAATTGTCAGGAGGAATGGGCAGCATTTCCTGACAAGTTTTGGAAACATGTGCTTGCTCAGAGAAGTCTCTGTACCTTTAAGACGTGTTAACCTACATAAAAACAGCTTTGAACATTATATAATTACTTTCACGTGTGTGTGTGTGTGTGTGTGTGTGTGTTGCTTTGTTTTGTACTGTTTGGGGGATGTTATGCTGTTGCAACACAAAATGTCATAAGGGTAACTTTAAGCTCTTTGATTTTTATGCTTAAAAATATTGGTCCTGATTTCCCTCTCCCATAAAATTTACATGGGCTTCTTTTGCAACTTGGATGTTTTCAGCTAGTTACTTTTAGATTGCCAGTTCATTTAAAGAGCATCATGTAGAAAATAACTCATTTATTTTGACTGGTATATAATAAGGCTGTAGGAAACCACAAGGTTGGCAGTTCAAACCCACCAGTCACTCCTCAGAAACCCTATACAGGGTTTCTGTGAGTTGGAACTGACTCACCAGCACTTAACAACAACAACAAACAAAGTAGTAACACTCACAAAATATGATTTTTTGCCTCCGGATGGCATTATTAAATTAAGAAATTTTTTAGCTATTTTTTTCAAACGTGTGTGCTTATGAGTTATCTCGATATTATAGATAATTAATAAAATGCTTTCATTTCAACAGATCTTAGTGTTTGAAATCAACATTTCCATAAGTAACTTGAATTGTTGTTGTTAAGTGCCACTGAGTCAGTTAAGACTCATAGGGATCCTGTTTGGAATTTTCTGAGGAGCAGCTAGTTGATTTGAACTACTGACCTTATGGTTACCAGTCCAGTGCTTAATCCTACAGCGTCACACCAGGACTAATTTGAATTGTTGTTGTTGTTGTTAGGTGCCTTCGAGTCAGTACCAACTCGAAGAACGAAACACTGCCCGATCCTGGGCCAACCTCACTACTCTTGCCACGCTTGAATCCACTGAAGCTGCCACTTGGCAAATCCATCTCGTTGGGGTTCTTCCTTTTTTTCTCTGATCCTCCACCTTACCAAACATGATATCCTTCTCCAGCAACTGCTCCCTCCTGACACTATGTCCAAAGTATGAGAGATGAAGTTTGGCCATCTTGGCCTCCAAGGAGCACTCTATCTGCACTTTTTCCAAAACAGATCTATTGGTTCTTCTGGCAGCCCATGGCACTTTCAATAGTCTCCTCCAACACCATAACTCAAAAGCATCAATTAGATATTATAAAAATAAAGTTACCTTAAAAAAAATTTTTTTCCCCTTAAATTCTGATATAGAAAAGACTTCCTCTAAAGAAATTTGGCTTTCAAGAGGAAACCTAGATCCAGAGGGCGCAGAGTAAGGTAGAATAGACTGAGTAGTATAATCTGTCTGGGCGGGGGCTGATGAAAGGAGATGGGGATAGGTCTTTTATGGTACAACAATAATTGCTATCAGGACCGACTGTGAGGGTTAGAAATGTAAAGATAGACATAGCCACAAAGGGCTGGAGCTGAGATTGAAGCATCCAGCTGATATGAAGTGAGGGAAGATGCATAAGAACACCCAAATTTGCAGATAGTACCCATTTGATGTAGCCTCGATGGCTTGATAATCAGAACTTGAGTAGAGGAAGATTAAAAAAAAAAAAAAAACATTTTTTTAAATAAAGGAAATGAGAGTAAATTGCTACAATTTCATGAACTTGACCTATACTCATGGAGGTAGTAACTCTAAATACCAACAGAGGGAAAGAGTCTTCACATCAAGTATCAATGCTATCCCCTCTATACACAGGGTAGATAGGGATGGGAAACTTTGACATTGGCTACCTAAAAAGAAGGGGAGTGACTGACTTTG